TCCACTTTGCATTTTGCTGAAACATTGGGAGTTCCTTTCCCAGACCTGAAGAAGAGCTCTGTGTGGCTCATAAGCTTTGTCTCTCTCACCAACAGAAGTTGGTCCAATAGAAGCTATTACCCTCACCCACCTTGTCTCTCTAGGTTTATAACTGGCAGAATGAGGTTAATCTATAGAGCTGCCTTTGTTGTTTAATTGTGTTACATGATGTGTTACATCAGTACCAGGTCCAGCAAGGGACAATGACTTGGCAAGCTTCTCCCACACTGTCTCACAATGCACCACAACTATACTTTAAAAAAGGGACCATCTCTAAAGACTGGGCAGTTGTGTGTGTGTGTGTGTGAAAAGCAAAAGACAATTGTAGTCTAGTCTCTTTCTCTCTGTTCATTCTATTCTTCGCCTCTTTATCTGAAAGGCTAGCAAGGCTGCCAGTTGCGACATTGGCTTTAGTGAAGATGACATCTCTCCACCAGACATTGGGCTTGTGCAGAATGAATTGAGCTCCACTCACTCAACATTCGGCAGATATAACAATTTCCAGGGTGGAAACCTCAATCCGCAAACTCAATGGGAGTTTCGCCACTGACTTCAATTTAATCAGCTCAATATCTACCAGAGCTGGATTTGAATCAATGACAGAGATCAAGGGCTCTTCCACAACTGATCTCTCATCCTCTAGGTTTAAAAGTTAACAGGGTCTGAATTAAACCTCAGTGAATAATGTAAAAAAGGGAAAACTGTCCCCAATCAACCAGCCAGTCACCAGCACTTCCCAGAGTGAATGCAAAGCATAGGGACAGCTGCAGATACAGATGTGGTTTTGCACTTATATGTAACATGACTTATCACCTGGTTACTGGAATACTCCAGGTTGGCACTAGACAAATATTGCACTGCATTGCCTTCTAAAAAATCTGGATTAGTTTCTGAACATGTCAGACAGCTGATCTCTACAAAACCCATCTCCATAGCTGCCCCCTTAAAGCTATGGATGTCTGATGCTCTCAAATCTGAGAGAACAAGTATAATATTCTCTAGCAAAAATAAGAGCATAGAGTTAAAATTTTCAAAATGCCTAAGTGACTTAGGAGCCTACATTATTGAAAGTCAGTGGGATTTGGGCATGTTGGAAATGTTAAAAAGCCAAATGAGTTCTCAGGTCAGCAGCGAAAACAGTGTAAAATCTTTGTGACATCTTAACAAGAGAGACACCAGGAGCTCGAATGGCAAGGTCAACAATGTGGCAGCCAGTTCAAACATCAAGCTGAACCGTGGGGATGTAAAGAGGCAGCTGGAGGATGCTCCACACTGCCCAAGGGTTAGAGCAATTTATGGGATATTCAATTCAAGGAGCAAGTCAGGCTTGTGCCTCGCTGTCAGGATCTGCTCATGCAAGGTGCTGAGTGTGCTTAACTCTCACTCATCTCTATAGGAGTTGAGCTCCCTAAGTACCTTGGAGGAAGCACTCAGCACTTTTCAGGATCACTGAATTAAAGAAAGAACTATAATTCCTATTGGACATTTGAAGGACGCTAGTTTGTTCTTTCTCTTGTATCATCTGCTTTGGTCTGTGTAGAAGGCTAGACTCTTTATTCCCATCCTCTCATTTCATGCAATATTGAGCACTGGCTTTAAACACATGCTATATGGACAAACTGCAAGAGAAGTCAACTGTTCCAGAAGGTAGGCTTTACACTGAAACAAGCACAGTCCAACAGGGCTTACACTTGCTTTATGTACTACAGCATCACAAGCAACAAGTGCCAGGAAAATGGCTTGTTTCTTAGGCTTTGTGTTCTATTTGTTGTTCACAATAGATAATGCAAAAGACGTGCTTTAATAACTAAAAATTCTTCAGGGTTCTCAAGGACTTTCATCCACTTTGGTGACCTCAAATAACTAAATGCTTGGAATGCTCATTGATCTCTTTTTATACTCCGTTTACTGGGGTGCAGTGTAGTGAGAAACACAAAGGTGAGTGCTGTGTTTTGCAAAGGTGCTGACCACCTGCTGCACACACTGCAATCAGTGGCAGAGATCGTATCATGAATGACTTGTTCAAGGCTACACAGTGAGTCAGTGGCAAAGTGGAAATAAAACCAGCCTCCTGCTCTAGCCTTTAAAAAATATTTCCCACCCTCCACATGAAGTTCTGAATAATAAACACCCATAGCACATGGAGTAACAGTGAAATGTTCAAGAACTCAGGATATACTTAAGCACATGCATAAATCCATCTTAAGCATGTGCTTAAATTTAATCTTGAATAAGGATGTGTTCCTGAACTGAGGCTAAGAAACAGATTCAGACTCATTAAGTTAACAGGCGAGTGATGTCCTGAATTTCCCTACCATGCACAGTTGACACAGTTAAGCACATGGAATAAATCAGGATTGCTAATGATGCTGAGATTTTTTTTCTGAAAGGTGATTTTTTTCCATAGTGAAATAACTCATCTCTAACTTGCTAGTATTAAAAACTCTTTCTACAGCTGCTAGTGATTTAATTTATTATTGCACTTCCAAGGAGGCAGATGTTAGCTGTAAAATACACATTACCGTTCAAGGACTTGCTTCAAAAATATAAAAGGAAGGAGATACAGGCCACAGAGCTTTTGTAGATTGTAGCTTCTGTTATTCTCTTTGGGAGATGCACATCAGAAAGTGATTACACTCAGTGCAGACTATACTGTATACCTGTCATGTAAATATATTTTTATTAGAAAAAAATCCAGCTAGGAATTTGGAGAACTGAACTTTACTGTTCTTTCTGCAAATTTTGTAATGAAATGATATCCATAAAACAAATCGGTTGGGAAAAATCAGTAACATGACTGGACTTTTTCTGCATGATGTTGTAAACATCTGTCATATGGTGGTGCAGGCGGGGGAAAGTAACATGTTCTTTCAGCAAGAATAATTTGCTTGATTACTGATAACGAGGAAGTAATGTAGATATTCAGTGATACTTCCAGAGATAGTGAGATCTTCCAGATTAATTCCCTAAATACACACCAGCAGAACTCTCTCCTGATTCTATTACCTGCACTAAAATGTGTCATGTTTTCATTTATTTTGACTTCTCCTGAATATAATGCAAAAGAGCACATATGCCAAAAAAAGGAGTGCCCAGGCAAAAATTTAAATTATAATTGAATAAAAGGTGAAGCCAACCAGCTGCCCCTCATCCCAAGTCACAAAACAACCAACCACAATCAGACCAAGCTGATAGCCCTCTCCCATACAAACAGCGAACACAAAACCAGGAGAAATTTGGCAGTTCTGTATTAGTGTTGCTTTGAGATTTGGGGTTCTAATTGCACAAAACCGAATACCCTTGTCTCGCCCCCTGTCCTGCCCCTCCTCTGAAGCCCTACCTCTGCCCCACCCCTTCTCCGAGTCCCCACTCCTGCTCACTCCATCCCCCCTCCTTGTCGCTCGCTCTCCCACCCTCACTCACTTGCTCATTTTCAGCAGGCTGGGGCAGGGGTTTGGGGTCCAGGAGGGGGTGAGAACTCTGGCTGGGGATGCAGGCTCCAAGATGGGCCCAGAAATAAGGAGTTCAGGGTGTGGAAGAGGGCTCTGGGCTGAGGCAGTGGGTTGGGATACGGGAGGGGGTGGGGGTGTGGGCTCTGGAGTGGGGCCAGGGATGAGGGGTTTGGGGTACAGGGGAGCTCCAGGCTGGGACATTCGGTGTGCGAGAGGGGGCTCCGGGCTCGGGCAGGGGTGTGGGGTGTGTGTGAGGGCTCTGCTGGGGGTGCAGATTCTGGGGTGGGGCTGGGGATGAGGGGTTTGGTGTATAGGAGGGGGCTCTGGGCTGGGACCAAGGGTTCGGAGGGTGGGAGGCGGATCAGGGCTGGAGCAAGGAGTTGGGGCACAGGGGGCGTGAGGGCTCTGGCTGGGGTTGCGGGCTCTGGGGTGGGGATGAGGGGTTTGGGGTGTAGGAGGAGGCTCTGGGCTGGAACCAAGGGGTTCAGAGGGCAGGAGGGGGATCGGGGCTGGCGCAGTGGGTTGGGGCACGGGAGGGATGCAGGCTCTGGGCGGCAGCTCCTGGAAGCAGTTGAATGTCCCCCCTCCGGTTCCTATGCGGAGGCACGACCACGTGGCTCTGCGTGCTGGCCTGTCCGCTGCCCCGTGCCACCCCTGCATTTCCCATTGGCCGTGATTCCCAGCCAATGGGAGCTGCAGATCCGGCACTTGTGGTGAGGGCAGTGCACGGAGCCCCCTGGCTGCCCCTATGTGTAGGAGCCAGAGGGGTGACATGCCGCTGCTTCCGGGAGCCGTGCGGACCCAAGGCAGTCAAGGAGCCTGCCTTAGCCCTGCTGTGCCCCTGACTGGACTTTTAATGGCCCGGTCAGCACTGCTGACCGGATCCACCAGGGTCCCTCTTTGACTGGGCGTTCCTGTCGAAAACTGGACATCTGGCAACCCTACCCAAAACTCAGAGGGGACTAAATTTAAACCAATATATATATACACACACACATATATATATTTGCAAGAGCCCATGCGAAAGAAAAATGCTAAAATACATTCAGTATTACTCCCAACCCACAATAAAATTGTTCAAGCAAAGACCAAAACCAAATCTGTCATCAGCAACCCTGTAGAAGCATTTGCAGTATATACTGGAAAAGTTTGTTATGGAAGCCAACATCAATTTGATTATTTAATATTTTGAAATTGTCCTTCTAGCTTATGTATGTGTTGGAGAAAAACATATGTAAAAGCTACTGGACTTTTCAAAACAGCCCTTAGATCACATAATGAAATTACTGGTTCCATTAAAGCCTTGTTGCACAGCTAGTGAACATCAACTTTTATAATAGTTTTCAAAAACCTGGCCAGGGCCAGTTTGGATGCAGCTGGTCTTCATCACTTCTCTTGTCTCATGAAGTCATTAGATGGAGGCTTAAGCATATTAACTTTGTTTTTTTAAAAGAGGAGATAAGAGACACAAGGACTGTTTTTCTTCAGCTAGCAAAAGAGCCAACATACCCGAGCACCTTTCTCTGGAAAACATTTGCAGCCCGCGCTGCAATCTCGACCCCCACATGGTCCGTTATAGGATTTCTTCCCACCCTGTAAAAGAAAAAGAGGAAAAACTGAGTAACCAGACCCTTCTAGGCATCTGAGATCCTTCTCAGTCAAAATGCTGTAATTAAGAGCTGGTTCATTTCATTTCGATGATCTACATTAGTCATGCGGATTTGTTTGACATTAACTAGACAGACTAACTAACTTGTACCTTTTAAGCAACTGGCTCATTTTCAGAATCACTGATCATCTCAACATGAGACAATGTCTTTAAAACTGCTAGAGGAAAGACAGATTTATAAGCTGGGCATGATCATGCAAGGTGCTGAGAGCTCTCTAGGCCTACCAAGTTTCACTGGAGTTGAGTGGCTTGGGATAATAAACACCCTACTAGTTTAGGATCATTCTTTGGAACTAGAGCTGTAGCTGAACCAACCTCCCGCATCCAAATCCCACAGACCTTGAGACAGTTTAGACCAGCCATCCCCCAATTTTTCCTTTTGCACACCCCCTTGCCAGTAGCAGAATGTGGGAGTGGAGTTGCGGCTGGGCTGAGGACCGGAGCCAGCAGCCAAGAGTGGGGGCCAGAAGCCGAAAGCAGGGGCTTGGGGCAAGGCCGCAGCTGCAGCTGGCGGCAGAACGGGATTGGGGACAGAGCAGGGCTGGGGGGCCCTGCCATGCCCCCCAGATATTCCTTTGCACCCCCTTAGGGAGGCACACCCCACAGTTTGGGGACCACTGGTTTAGACCCAGATCTGACCTTTGTGGCTCATGCCCATCTCTAGTTGTAACTAGTCTCAGTCTATGAGCTAAGCACAAGAGAAACTTACATTTTTAATAGAAAGGGAAAAAAACCTTTAGTACACAACAGACATAATAGTGTAAGGAGGAGAGTAAGAAATGTAACAGCTTGAATGTACTTGAAACCTGGGTCATCAAATGGCATACTACATGTCCTGGATTGAGAGACAGAGCTGACTAAATACCAGCTCCAACCAAAGAGCAGATCTTCCTCCGATTAGGTGACTTGGAATTTTCTTGTTACATTTCCAAATAACTATATATCACTAAAATTTCATCTATTATGTTTGCTGCAATGGAGAAATGCACTTTTCAAAGAATAAGTTATACAACAGTTAAATATGCCATTTGCCCCTCTAGTGACTAGTCCAGAGGATATCTAGAGGATAAAAAGCCTGCTATAGATTCCTGCTACTGATAGCTGGAGTGATAGAGGTCCATTCTTAAACTCTTCTTAGAATTCCTAATCCTACAACACACACATCACAATCTCAAGTGTAGATTCTGTAAACCATTAATCATATAAGTAAAGATTTGCAGAACGTGTCCCTAAGAACAAAGAAAGGACAACTGGGTGACTCGGGTCAATGTAGGGCAGAGTTAAGGTTATATGGATGCCCTAACTGTGCATTTCCAAACCATAATGCGTTTGGATTGTTTATTTTGGGGATAACTACAATATTCTTATAAATTTTTTTTATCCCAGGCTCTTGATGTGAACTTTCCAACTTACCTAGTTTAATGTAGTGTTTTGTTTGTGTTTTTGGGGTGTGTGCACTGTCTGAGAATTAACTAAATAAGTTTAGTGGGACTCAACAACCCTTTTGCCCTGAAGGTTCTCCCTCCAGCTCAGGATTGAAGCACATTGCTGAATCGTTGCAGGAGAGGTTTGCAATGCCACTGACAATGATGTCCCAGTACTAGGAAGAAAATGAGCACTTCATGGCTCTCAATCTAGCACCTTCAGGAGCAATATATTCATTCCATTCACAAAGAAAAGGGTTTTTTTTCCCCCTGTTTAAAAAAAAAAACTTCCTTTCTCTGATGGATGTGCTCAAGTGAATGATGCAAAGGGCAGTCTCCAGGTTTTGAAGTCCTGAATGAAATAACAGCTTCATCCCCAGATGACCAAGATATGTATCAAGACAAGCCCAGGCTAGAGTCAAACATTTCCCTACTAAATGCATTCTTGGAAAATATTTCTGAAGCCTTCAAACTTTCCTAACACCTGGAGCATAAGGAAGGAGAAGAGAAAAGGTTACACAAGTAAGCTTCTCACTGCATCTTCGAGAATCCTCATTAGGATTTCTCTAAACAAAATGTTGCCAGAGAGGGCAACAGTATCAAGTCCAATACGAGGGTGATGTAATGCATTTTTCACTGAAGACTATTTTTAAATAATAAAACTGTATTCAATTGTTAAAATGTTGATGATCGCATAGTTACTTTAGCAAACTACTTCTTACACAGGGTGGAGTGAGCCTATATTACCAAAGAGATGTAATAGCCAGCTACACGTTTTCTTGCCCTGGAGGTATGTTGCCTTGTACTGCAAATCAGTTATTACTGAGTCCATGCAATTGTAGGTGGCACCAATTCTAAGGGGCTGTTCCGTTTTAGGGCCAGTTCCTGTAAAGTTCTTGCACTTCCCACTGATGTCCTAAATGTAGTAGGACATAAGGCCTATAGGATCCCAGCAGCAAAAAGAAAGGTAAAGCAAATCAGACAAATTGACAAGCCACAAGAGCCAGTACAGGAGGAATCCTGATCCAGTCAGGAGACCGGGGTCAGGAAACAAAGGTCAGTTTACAACAACCAGGAAAAGGCAGAAAAAGAGAGAATCTCTTTGCAAGTCAATAGGATGCACTCCAATTAGGCAGCAACAGCCTTGTGTATCCAGCTGCATAATGTGCAAAGACATGGAGGAACCAGACATATCCAGGTTTTCATCTATTTCAGCCTTAGTTTTTGTGATTGTTTAGTTTCTGTTCCACCCTCTGCATGTCTAGTCTTTGCCCCAATAGCCCTTTGAGCAAGCGTGCACTTCCTGAGGTCCCATCTACTTAATGTTTTAGTTTTTCTCCCAGGTGTAAGTTATGCAAGAGAAATCTTTTTTTATCATAGGCATGGACTCTTATCTAGTCCCAACTGCAGGCGACTGGACTAGGCAGGCCAATTATTCTTTCCTAATTTTGTGTTTTTCCAAGTAACTTTATTTAGCATATGAACCTGTGTAAGGCCCTAATCCAACTCCCAATGAAGTCAACAGAAATCTTTCCACTTTCTTCAGTGGGAGCTGGATCAAGCTGTAATTGAGGTTTATTGCATACAAATATTAACCTGAAAAATTGGTCTGTGTTTCATGTAAAATGGCATGTTTGCACTGTATTTCTAAGTTTCCTATCCTGGCAGGAGGGGTCATTCTACTCACTTGTGAATGAAAGAATTTAAGAAGGGAAGAAAGCAAACTAAAACTAGTTGGCTATGGACCAGGTGTTACATGTCACAAGTATTTTATTTAGGAGAAGTAGCTGACATCAGACACTCCCAGGCTGCTTAAATAGCAAATGGCCATGCACATAATATTTATGTGCATAACGTTAAAGGTCTGTATTTAACGTTTTAGAATGAATCCATCGCTTCTGAAACAAATCTTTCATACATTTTTCACTAAAAGTGAAAAAAAACCCTAATGTACAAATATAAGGCTCATTTAAATATTTATAGATGGCAGTTTGAATATGTAAGTATGGGCACTCCAGGCTCCATGTGTGTGTGTCTGTGTGTGTTTATATTCAGGGAGAAGATCTTTCCAACTGTTCTGCAATATTAAATTTCAAGTCTGAAACTAACAAGGACTTCTATGAGGGAAACAATGCAAGGGCTAAAGAAAGAAGGGTCCTGAACATAGTGGGAAGTACTGAAGATTATAATAATATTGAGTTAAGCTCTTTGAATATCAATGACCAGAAGCAGTTAGTTTTTTTAAAAATAGTGTAAATGTTTATTTTTCCATAAAGAATAAAACATAAAAATTAAAAATGGGCCAGATTCAGACTTCATTTATACTATACCCATTTAAATCTGCAGTAACTCTTTTACTGATTCCAGCTGAGTTACTCCAGATTTGCAACAGTGTAGCTGAGATCACAATCACAATCTGGCCCATAATGTAGAAAGAACATGTCGTTTATTTAGGATATGTCTATGAAAGTGAATAATTATTTTAAAAGCCATTCAAAAAACAAATACTACTGTAAAAACATAACATTCCTCCTGTTTTTGGTATATATCCATCAAGCGTGTATGTATAATTGATTTAGTTATAAAGAATCTGATCCAAATGGAAATCTTTCCATTGACTTCAATATGCTCTGGAACAGGTCCAAAGAAATTAAAGGAATATAACAGCTGGGATGCCACAAAGCATGCCATAGACACCGTTCTTGTGCAGCCTCACCAAGGGATTGTAAAAAAAATATACACAATTATTACATCACCTTCAAAACCAAAAAAAATTATAGCTACAACGTGGAGGGAAAAACCCAGCAAATTCAAGAAGTCATTTCCTCATAGAGCATTGGTTCTCAGCTTGGTTTCTGTGTCACAGACAGGTTTCAGGGAGTTACAACCACCTTCCTTTTCTTTATGGGAGGGGTGTCCCAAGTTTTTTCTGTTGTAACATAGCATCATGGTATGGGAAAGGATGAGAACCACTGACAAAGGATGAAGACTTCTATCAACCAGGAAAAAGAAAACTACATCTCAACGGAGGCCAAATGGCTGCAGAGAATACAGATGAGGAACCAGCAGCGGAAGAGGCTAAACCAGTTCAAAACCTACTATAAACACCAGTCTATTAGAGAATCAGTGGTGGTAATGGACTGTAAATTGGTAGCCTTCTACCAAATTGGAAATGTGGGGAAGCAAAATGGGAGGTGTGAGGTGCTACAAGACTAGAACACCTCTGTTCATAACAGGACATGAATCTCTGATGGGGGGGGGGGGAGGAGAAACCCAGAGGATGGAGAGAACCAATATTAAGTCTGGCAGGATTCACCTGAAGAGAAGTAGTGAGCATGAACTCTCTCCCTCCCTCTCCTCCCCGACTTATTTCCCACACTGCCAAACTGCAAAGAAGCTGAACAGATTAGGAGAGCTAAGGTTTCATATGGCCCAAAACAGAACTTTGAGGAGAAACTCTACAACCTAGTAATTATATTCCTGAGTTTGCAGGAAATGGA